GATGGTGGTCAAAGAAAGGTGTGCGCACGATTTTCTTTGCTTCAAACCGTTATCTCATTGGTTTCTATTTTTCAGAGGTATTATTGAATCCGGGGAGACTCTTGAGGTGTCCTCACCTCCGTGCAAAGGTACATTACCATGTTGATAGTTTAGATTGTCAAACATATGTTTTCGGTCATTAATCGTCAAGGGCGTAGGAATGCAGGTATCACTTAATTTGGTCTACCGTCTTAGATACCTCTAGCCCTGTGGTTACTTATTGTTATATAAGTTTTACTTAAGTTTTAATTTAGTTTAGTTTTTAATGAAATATGTAGTTTATTAGTTTAATTTTAGTTTAGTTTGATACCGCCGAAGTTAGAGAAATATATTCAAATAATTACTGATTGCAGTAGTCGCCGGCTATTAAGCCCACCTGGGCCCAGACCAAATTGGGCTTAATAAGCGGCTGGGCTTATTAACCGTGGGCTTAATACAGTTGTCACCGGCTATTAAGCCCACCTCGGGCCCAGATCAAATTGGGCTTAATAAGCGGCTGGGCTTATTAACCGTGGGCTTAATAGCCGGCGACTACTGTAGTGGGTAATTGTACTCCGATCTGTTTCATGATGTACCCATCCTGGTTGATGACTTTGCAACCATGGCACTCCAAGTATATATACTGCAAGGTGAATAGTAATGTTACTTATTAATTTTCAGCAACATATTTTTTATGCTATGTTTTACTGACAAACACAGAAGGACCCCCAGGAAGGCCTTTTCTGGCTTATTTGCCGTCGTCAGCTGGGGGATACCCAACTCTAGTGTAGCAGCGGAAATTGCCGCCACACTCGAGTTTCGAACTCACGTCTCTCCAGTCAGAAGCAAACGCCCTAACCATTGAGCCAAGAGTACGCTATCTTGTCGGTTTGTGATCGGGAGTATGTATATTAGAAGGTAGCGCACCGTATATACCCTTAGCCCCAGTCTTGTGTCTTACGGGACCGGGTGGGAAATAGGCAAAAAGTTAATCGTGAGTAAAGAAATATAACGAATAGCAGCTCAGATGGGCTTACGCAAAGTTAAAGGTTATTGCTATAACCTTGTGTGTAGATGCATTTTGGGGCGACATACCATTATCAGCTGTAGTCGGCCAAGGAAGACTGGCTGCCTGTGTCAACTTATTTTGGCAGTAGAGTACTAGGTTCCCTAACCGAATTGCTGTAGGTGCTTCGGCTGTTGCTAGCACCTGTTTGCATAGGTCGGTGTGCTGGTGCCCGGTAGGCGACCTAAAAGGCCTCTCTCGCGTCAACTTGGTGGTTCCTATCAATTAAGCATGCGGGAACTGAACTTGAAATTGATAGATTTTCCCTTTTGCCTAGCCAAACAGGTGTGTCGTCGCGCACCGTATTTTCCAGACGCCTCGGGATTGGCGGGAGTTGAGATCAAAATGTCAGTGTCTAGT